TTTAACCAACCAGTATCCCAAAAAAGAAAAAATGTCCGGGAAATATTTCTTTAGACGCGTTGAGCGTAGTAACTTGCCGAGAGCTACTAGAGATACCCTTTTTCGCCGTATCTTTTTAATATTCATACACAAGACATCCCTAAAAACCCTTCTGTTCATCTTGCACTCTTTGCCGAAAACACCGCCGTAAAGCCTGCACAGCTATCGCCGTAAGAAACCAACCCCAAAACTATCTCATAAAACTGGAAAAATGGCTCACCCTTTGGAGGATTAAAATGAACACTGATAAAACGAAGGCAATAATTTTTCGTAAAGGAAACATGAGATACTATCCTCCACCCCCTGAAATATTTGACGAAGAAATAGACTGGATTAATGAAATCAAATACCTTGGAGTCACCCATGACCAAAACCTTACCTTCAGAACCCACTTCCGGACCGTAGTACAAAAATTTAAAATCACCACAGCTACTATGCGACCTCTTCTTGGTAGAAAAAGCAACTTATCTACTACAAACAAATTAATTCTATATCGCACCATACTTCGCCCAGCCCTCCTTTATGCAGCACCGATCTTAGGACATGCAACTAAAACCAATATTAAACAATTACAAATTCTACAAAATAAAATTCTACGAGAAATTATCAATCTCCTTGGTATATTCCAAACATCTATATTTACAGAGACCTTCGAATCGAACTTATTCAAGAGTATATTAAACGGTTAGCGGTCAACTTCTTTTATTCAGCACAAACCCACAGTAATAGCCTTATTAGCACTCTCAGACACTCCCCGCATCCTAGAGAAAAACATCGGTACCCAAGTGCCATCCTACCCACATAAGAATTACAACCTTGATTGACTCATTCACGCTAAGCTGACTCTGCGGTTTATAATCCGCGGCTACATCTTATAAGGACACTGAACTTTCCACCCCCCTTTTTTTCCTCCCACCCGTTTCTTATCAGAAGTCGAGTAAAAAGATGTTTCTACATCTTGATACTCGAGAATAAAATACGATCTGTGTGTCTGTGTGAGATACCCTTTATAAGGAGCCTTAGCCGAAGTGATACCGGTTTCTTTTTAACGCAGTGGTTAATTTCACCGACGGTGCGAATAGCTAACAGGCTATTCACACCACCTACGTTCACGCATGCGCACAAGGAGCCCAGGTACAAGGCAGGCGGTAGTGAGAGCGAAGGTTGTTAACCCTAACTCAGCAATAGAAAGGGTTGTTAATAGTTCACCAGCAAGAGAATAATTTGCAAGTAATAATTATCAGTTACACAGACGAAGTTAATCTATATACATGATAATGTTCAGGAAATGATTAGATAAAATAGGGATTTAATGATGGTTCTAATTGGAAGCGAGGACGAGTAATAGTTTAAAAAAACTTTAGTGTATTGACAAAAAGGTTACAGAAATTAATTAAATTCTTTTATTTAACAGAAGAATTTTTATGCAAACTTAGACCCTAGTCTTATAGCATTGGACTGTCAGAATTTATTATTCAATAAGAAAACTTAGTGAAAATTATAATATTCTTATATATTCATCGCTTTTTCAGTATCCACTCATGTTTATAGGTTAAAATGCCATATTCAATATCAAAGTTATTTTTGAAATAAAAACCTTATAAAATCTGATAAATCATTTGTGTGTGCAAATTTTTAAATCTAAATCTCTTACATTAAATTATTTCTGGCTTTTAAATTACATCCCATTATTTATTTCAATTCAATTGATTAATGTGTTTGTATTACTATTTCAAAGTTCTTTCAAACACTTTTTGTGTCCTGAAAATGCCAAGTAAAAAAATAAACAGGCATACAGAATAATTCCTTTAATGGTTCATATAATCGCTTTTAACTGATTTCATGTCTAAATTTTCTACACAGAAAGCCGCTGTCTAATTTTTAGTATCTTTTATCGGACGAAATTTTTCAAAGAGGAATGAATTAACATTGAGCAAAACACATCTTTAAAGCTAAATGTATTCTAAGAAGTACCAGAAATGTCAACACTATTTGCCCCCCCCTTCAAATCAGTCATTTAAACTATTCAAACCGTTCAGGAAAAGGATAAACATTGCGAACATAAAAATCTGCCATTTTTTATATATACTTTAATAAAAGGAAATGTGTTCCTTCTTTTTATAAGAAAAGGAACCCATATTCCTTTCTAAGCTTTTGAAAGCAACACCTCCTAGAACTAACTCAAGGCCACGGCGCGCAGTTCGTGACGTCACTGCAGTGGGGATACTTTCGTCCTCGCCAACTTTAAGGGCGCCTTCTTAAATGTCCATTTGACAGGCTTATAATTAAACTGAAATTTTTATATTTAATTCTCATCGTTTATAAATGTGGAAAATACCTTGCTTTCATTAGAATGTGAAGATCCGAGATTTTCATTTTTAGAATGTTTTCGATACGAATAACTAGAATTTTTAATTCCATTAAAAGTTATTACTGATTTTACCAAATTTAATTGCTGAGTAACTCTTGTTAACGAAAGAAACTTCACACTTAATGAATCGGAATTTTATTTGTACGCAATAATTAAACAGAAAGACAATTTAAGATGTGAAGGCAGGATATAGATCCTAAAAAATTGAGATAAATTCTAACTGATTTAAATTATGAAGCTATTTTACCTGGAATCATGTAGAAAACATAAAATCATTAGTTGAAAACAAATATAATTAATCAGAGATGTTTATTGGTCACGAGTAGTATTGATTATACTTACAACAATTTATTTATGCCTTGACTAATAAACATCTTTGATAAGTATAAGTAATATATCTTATTTTTAACATATGTTGCCGAATAATAATAAATACTCACGTTTGAAAAAAATAACGCTAAGCTTGCAACGATTTAAATAAGTTCTCATAATTATTTGAGACATTAGGTGCACAGAGAGAATTTAATATTATTTTGCATTTAAATGGCAAAATATCAAACCTCTGATAGAGGTCTGATATAGATATAAATAGCTAACTATCTTTACAGGAAAATTTTATAACATGGTTTTAGCAGTATTATGTGGAAGGCAAATGTAACAAATCCTAAACTGGATATGAACACAACAAATGAAAAACATAATTATCATTGCATTATTACTGCCGAATAAAATGACTAAAATATAATGCCCTTAGGATGCACTAAATTATACATTACAATTCGAAATACTTTAGATAATATGTATATGCTTATTTTCATCAGTCAACTAAAAAGAGAAGGATTGTTCCAATAGAGGAAAAAAGAAAGAAGAAAATCATCGAAATTGTCTTTGCAGTCAATTCAGAATTATTCAAAACTGTCTGTATTTTACACATTAAGTTTTTTTCGGATTTAAACTGAGCATACATTATTCAATTTCATTAAAATTTGTAGCATAAAATAACATAGGTTAGGTGAAGTTATTTTAATTACGGCAAAACCTCGAGGGCTATCTGCCTAAGGGAAGGGATGCATTCGTTGAGGACTTTCTAAGGGAAACTGGCTCGTATACACGTTACACATGGGGGAAAACACCCATGCAGCCGGCCCGTTCGCGGGATTCGAACCTCGGACCGAACTACAAGTGTTCAGCGACTTAACCGCTCGGCCGCTGGTGGACCGCTAAAATAATATAAGTTAATGTTTCTTCACGACTAATAGAAAGAAAATCATACTTGTCTATTAATTGTATAAAGTGAAACAGGTAACTAGTTTTGAAGAATCATGTCTAATTAGATAGAAAAATCTTTTGTCAAATAAAGAGTTGCCAAAATTTAATTATTTACTTACAAAAAATACGAAACACTTGCATGCAAAGATTGTTATAATCGGATTTAATTATCTAAACTAGAATTAAATACAAGATTTTGTAAAACTTCATATTTAATTATTTACTTTATATTAAGTGAATTTTAAGAATATCAGGCATGAACTCACAAAAATTTAAATAGCGTATTTTTTCGCATTGATATCAGAAACAAAATTGGTATTAGTTACAAAAATATTATCAAGATTTTTCAAGGTCTTCGGATTTTAATAAATACGCTGTTCCTGTGACAAATGTATCGAGATATTTAAAGGCAAGCATTTTGCAACATACAAAATGTATTTACAATTTTGAATTTCTATTAATCCTACATTTAATCTAATCCTACTTTTAAGTCACACATTTGTTTAATTTACTTAACTTGGTAAATGATGCTATTTACTACAACTAGGAAGGGAACTAGCATGATGATAAAGAATGCCATCTGCTATAGATTGAACGGTTAGCATGATGATAAACAGTACTATCTGCTATAAATTAAATTAATAGTATGATTAAATCATCATATTTATATAATCACTATTAGACTTACAATAAGATTAAATATGTTTACTTTCTATAAATGTATGTACTGGCTTTGGTTTATGATAATTGTAACATACTTAACACAGAAGCACTTTTTAAAGCACAGATAAGTATAAAACTTATTCATTAAAAAAAAAAAAAAAAAAAAAAAAAAAAAAAAAAAACGCAATTTACCTGCGAAAATTTTTTTGGCTTGAAATTGCTTCTATGAATCGCTTTATCCATTTATTAAGAATTCTTTCTCTTTCGGAAAAGAGAAAACCTGTATTTTAGGACCATTTGGATAGTTCCCTTTACAGTTAGGTACACAGCATGTGTAAACCATATTAAAAATTTGAAAAACAAATAATAAAGTGGAATAGTTATAATATGGAAATATCTGAAAAAAGAAAGAAAATGTCCACTGTTCTTATGGACGACTTCTGACCGAGTAACCGTCAAAACTCCGGAAATCCACCCACCACAGTCCTGGGTGGGGAGAGTTAAATGAAATGCAATCCCTACTGAAACTGACGTCACACCTCCTCCTGGAAAACGCGCCGTGGCCTTGAGTTAGTTCTAGGAGGTGTTGTTGAAAGTCGCCAACGCTGAAAAAATGATAAACTCCGCCAAGGTAGAAACCCGCCTTTGACAACTCAATGCGCATGCATGATTGATTTTGGTGCGAATAGCATCGGCCTCATATCATTCCAGGACACTGTCGCGCTGAAAAACATAAAGTGTGCAAACAATATAATTGGTTTATTAAAATCCGATCGTACTAAATGTATCTTTTGATTTTGCCGTTTTCCCGGTATGTTCATATTATTTGTTTCTTATATGTGGCACATTTTGTAACAATAGAAGCGAGGGCACAGCTTTAGTATTAGTCCTTTTTGGCGAGAAATTTGTTTGGCGACATTTTGAAGCGATAAATGTAAAATTTTGGTAACCCTAAATACTGAGCTGAAAACATTCCGCCATTTCTGTCCACGTAACTTTAACGCCATTTCTTCTATATTTAACGAATTTGGTAGGTATCAGAGCTTTGGTGGCAGGAGGGATAAATTATTGCATGTTTTTCTTAAAGTTACGTTTGTGCACAATATTTAAAATATTTTTAAAAAGCTAAAATTTGATGTTTAAAACTGATGCTTTTAATATTACATCACATGAGTCTTGACATTTTTCATATGTCAACTCTGCATATTATTATAAACTCCATTCCCCAAGGGAAAAAAAAAAAACACATTTTGAGCAGCTTAAGGTAAACTCTTTGTGTTCCTTTGCTAAGGAGATCAAAATTGCCATGGTCTCATATTAGCCTTTTTTGCCTCATATTAGAACTATAGGGATGTGTAATTGCATGAATTCATAGGTTCAAATCAGGACCAGAACCAAAATCAGGTTTCATTATTGATTTATATACATTTTTATAATTTGTCTGACTATAAAAAATATAATATTGCTTATTTTACAGTTCTCAAATTTTGTAAATTTCACAACCTATATAGCTGTATATGAATAACCTTCACTGAGTATTATTACTTTTATTAACAGTATGTTGACATAACAGTCGATACTTTTCATTTTAAATTTTATGCAAATTATCTACATTACTTAAACATTTTATCTAACAGAAATCTGAATTTTAGTAATAAAAACTCTATAATAAAAGTAAGAGTACAATTTATATATAAAAATTTGACTACATGGCAAGCACTTAGGTACTGATTTCTTTAAATGTTATTATATAAATTATTCATGTCTTTTAAATGTTATTATTATAAAGTTTAGATATATTCTATTAAGATATACTTTTATTCTCTTATAATGTTTAGATGTACAGTTGTCTTACAGTTAGTATTTAGTCTAGATCGGATTTTGTTGACATCCGCCATTTTTTTCGATCTGAAAGCCGGTATACATTGGCGACGAAAGTTTGTCGCCAAATCAAAAAATCGCCAGAAGGACCAATACTAAAGCTGTTCCGAAGCGAGAAATAATTTATAATTATAAATTTTGTGTATTTGCCATTGTATTGAGATCGAGTTTGTTCTCTCACTCTGCATATTTCATCACCTTTCATAATATAAATGTGTAAGCTTCAGTGTTAAATGTAATTCTTGATTTGATTCCCCCCCCCCCAAATTTCTATGCTAATTATTTCTTCTGCGTGATACAGTAGGAGTAAGTCTGTTTTCCCACACATTTAACTGTAATCAGTTCTCAGTTTTCATTATACTATAAAGAAAATAAATATTCATTATTTTTACTATCAAAAGTAATTTTGAATGGTTTTGAAATTTGAGAGTTAACAACGCATTAATTTCATGTTAAAGCAGACAAATTTCAAACTTGGTGCTTTTTCATTAAAACCATATCACACCATTTTGGCTTATTTCATTTCCCTCACCTTTGGCTTCATACTAGGCATTTTTGGTACTTTCCTGTAAATAAGGTGCTAGTTGCCAAATTTGGCAGCCAGAGGCATAGCAAGGATTTTCAGTGGCTGCGAACAACTGGAGATTTTGCACCCCTTTCTCTTTGCCAAGGCTCATTAGTGACAAAGTGGTAAAATTGCTGAACACTGACAGTTCCAACCTGGGTTCAATTCCAGGCAAACTCGTTGGCTGCATGGGCATTTTCATGGATTCCCCATTTGTAACTTGTTTATGAACCAGTGTCCCTTAGAAAGTCCTCCACAGAGGATTCCTTCCGTTAGGCAGATAGCCCTAGTGTGCTTTGCCATAATCAACTAAACCAAACTAATTCTTTTTGCCAAAATGCAATGGTGATGCTATGTCGTTTGAACAGATGTCTCTGCTTGCCCCTATTTAGCTAAGCTACTGACAGCAATCTGTTTATAAGTAATTGTGCAATGTTCAGTATGAGCAATGCTGAAATTTTCCAATTCTCTGATATTTTTAAAATCAAAAACAGATCACTGTGTACATGGGGGAGAATGAAACTGGTGTTCTTTCTTTGTACGGTGATTTGTTATTGCTTGGGGGCGGAAATTGCACATTAAACATTATGTATGTTATACGATACATTACAGAATCATTTTTTAAAGTCTTTAACTGTGTGTAAGTAAACTCAACCCCTTAAAAAATTCAAAATGCAAGAAACGTCCATAATAAAACACTCACTTTTTTTTTTTTTTTTTTTTTTTTTCTCCCAGTATACACAATGATCTCATTTAGCTTCAAACTGCATGAGAGAATTTCAGGAACTTGTGATCATATACGACTTGGCATGGTAAAAATATATTTACGTGCACCCTTTGACAAAAATTTACGATTTTTAGCAGCACATGGATACCGAGTTTGTGCAATTATTTGACTTGTTACTTTGGCTTGTGTAGTGCCACTACACAAAGCCAAAGACAAAGAATTGCACAAACTCAGTATACATGTACACAACAACCTATTTTCATATAAAAAAAGAAAATCAGATAATTGCACCCTCTCTTGACTTTATCCATGTACACATCGACCTAATTTCACTTAATCAGAGAATTGCACAAACTAGGCATGGCGCACTCCGTTGACTTTGTCCATGTACACATCGAACTGCAGTGATGTAGCTAGGGTAGGGCAAGGGGAACATCCGTCCCTGGGCTCAGCATCAGCGATATGTATCCGTCAAATTGATGATACATATTTCAGAATGAAATGTTTTCCAGTCTTGGAATACAGAAAGGGACGCAAAATCTTTAGGTGTCCCTGAGTGCTCAGAACCTTAGCTACGCCTCTGTCAAACTATATTCACTTAAAAAGTCAACAAAAAATATATAATCTCAATAAACTGCATTTTAAATCAAACAATGCAATAACGTAGAAAAGGAAATTCATCTTTGCACTACACAAAAGAAATATCCACTTACCTTATTTATGAATTAACATGTCTTCAGTCAAACAAAATTCCTTAACAGTATCGAAAAACTTTCTAAAATTATCTGAACTAGAATCTGTATACTGGTGTCGCCACATAAATTCACATAATGAGAGACAAAAATAACCTCCCTAGTGCAGTTTATTGTCTGACCATTTGACCATACTTATTTCCTTCCTACAAACAAGACACTTAACCTGTTAACTGGGGAATAAGCTTTCAGTAAAATCGTTTCACAATGGGGACTTTTTCTTTTGCAGTAATTTCAGCACATCACAAGGAATAAATAAAAAAAAAAATCGTTTTAAAATATTTAATGATATTAAATATTAAAATTAAACATTTTTAATCCAGAAAAACAAATTAATTGAATGAATTTGAACAGTTATTTCGTATGATATTCCCTAAAGCAGTGCGGCATACACGAAGCAACACTGCAGTCGGGATACCAAAATCTCGATTCTTTCCTAAGACCTTTGGGCTAGCATAATTTGCATCTCCTCATTACATTTACTCTTGAAGAGTCGGATGGTATATAGTTTGCAAAATGTCTTTCAAAGATTCGAGATGGTTTTGGTGTAAAAGATGATCATCCTGTACTAGTAGATGGCAACTGCGATCCATCTATATTTTTCAACACCTTTTTCTACAGTTTCGATAAGGAAATGAAGCCTATCTAGGTGACCGCCATTTTTCTTGTATAAAAGATATGCATTCAAACACACCATGTCTAGTGCATGTAAAAATATCCCATAGTAATACTTTTTTAGGTGCTACTTTGGTAGACGGTTGCGCGGATTTTTGGCGATTAACGTTGGTGCAATTGTTGGCGCGATTTTTACAATCATCAGCCATCTTGAAAAACGCTGTTTTTACGCATAGTAAAGTATTCGAAACTTTAAAAAAAAAATAAAATAATAAATATCGTTAAAAGTAATGGATTAATTTTTTGTTGAAAATGTCTTTTTTTAAGATGGCAGGCAAGTGTAAATAAATACATTTACTATGAGTATAAAATACTAAGTAAGGTTATTATTACTTTCATATAGCAAAAAGAGAATAAAAAACACCGCTAAAAAACATTGTGCCAACGTTTAATTAGATTAAATATTACTGAAATAATATCGAATTAAAAACCATCCCTACCAACATTTAAAAGAATTAGAATATTATTAAATTCAAATACTTTAAAATATTTATAAAAGATAATTAACATTAAAACATATGTGACAATAATATCTCAGCAATTTTTGAAATAGTGTATTAATTTTTTTAACAAAAATTGAAGTAACAATTATAAATAAAAGAAAAATATGTACTTGCATTTTTTTGAGTATTTAACCTCTTGTTTATTGATAATACCACAAAAAAAAAAATCGAAATCATATTGAATCGGATCTTTTAACCATCTCATCTGTTATCCAAATATCTCACACTTCATTGAAGAAGCAATTAGCGAGGTTTCCTCCAAAATTTCCTATGATGCTATTAACAATTTATAAATAAATCTGATTAGGAAAGACAGGTTGGCCAAAATAAAGTCTCAAAGGGCAATTTTTTATTCCAATACCAATAATTCTTGGTAACCAATACAACCGTCTTCGAAATCCGAAACGAGAGATCCAATTAAATTTTAAAGGGCGTGATGCACAATCAGTAAACCAATTGGAGCGGAGTAACATCACGCATAGAATGAAATTATTTTAATCATTCATAATAAATCATTTTTAAAACAAATGCAAAATCAAATTTTTTTTAATATTTAACAGCCATAAATAATGTTTAAAACATTAGATTAAATTTATATAAGTCAAAACCAATTACTTTTTAAGAAGGGGACGTCATTGATTACATCAGCCACACATAAAATTATATAAAATATTATAAATAACAAAATTTATTTCAAAAAATGTAAAATTGAATTGATTTTTATATTTAGAAGCCAAAATATTTAAACACGGAAGTTAAGTATGCATAATAATGCATTATTTTTTAATAAATGACAACAAAGTATCGGTTACCATAAATAACTTATCCAGCAATAAAGTTGTATTACCCCAAAAGGCAAATCGCCAAAAAGTCGCCAAATCGTGCAAGCCTACCTAACTACCCCCCTAATTGGCACCCCTTAATTTTGTGTAGTCATGATAATCGTTTTCCTTCGTTTTTCTATTCTACCAATTTATTGTCGTGGATAGTACTCAATATAAACCCCTTTTTGTCTTTCCACTTTCATAATCATTATTTTATCTCTGTACCTAGCAATAGTCATTTTTTTTTCAAACACAACAAGTTTTGATAGATGATATTCCCTTTCAATTTTTTTCGCATTGTTCTTACAACATCGGTTTTTCACATCTTCTCAGCTAGATCAGTACTAGTATACCAAATTATCAAGATATAGCGTATATCCCTTATCCAACAAATTGTGGCACAATTCAGAACAATACGATTTGGTCCTGTTCTTCTGGATAGTTCGAACCATACTGCGTGTCTTTACCTGTATATATAATGAAATCACTTATGTATCTGGATTTACTTTCACATACCTTATACAATTTAACTCCAAATCAACTTCTTTTCGATGGAATGTACTGTTTCCAAGACAGTCTTTGTTTCCATAGTAAAAGAGACTCATCTACAGATATTTCCTTATCTAGTATATATAACACCTTGAATTTGTTTCTCAAATAGTTAAAAATGGAATCAATTTTGTAGGTTTTTTTGTTGCACACTTTTAGATCAAAAGCATTGTTATCACTAAAATGTAAAAATTTTACTAACAGTTGGAATCGTTTTTCTGACATAATTTTATGAAACAAATGGAGTCTCCAGACTTTCTCGCTTTGTGAAATAAAGCTGATAAGAAGGTTTTCCTATTATTCCTTGCAAAATTAGAAAAAAAAAAAAAATAAATAAATACTCTCATCTCTCGGTCATCTGTGTCAACCCACAAGAGACATCTTGAACGTGGTTTCGTGGAAGTATTTTTTTCAAAAAACTGTGTGGCATATTTGTTTGATTGTTCCACAGTAAGTTCTCCAAAATTCTCATCGATAAATTTCTCGAAATAAAAAAGGCAATCCTTTTCTTCAGGTCCTTCAAATGTAACTCTAGACTGGGATAGAAATGGGAAATGCAATCGCAATATTCTTTCACATTTCCATTCAGCAGATGTCGGTTGAGTATTTTGGTCTATAACATCATCATCTTTTGACTCAATGTCCGGACCATCAGTAAAGAAGTCATTATCGCTTTCTTCCAAACTGGTACTTATTCTTAGAATTCGACATCGTTTACCAAACCTCCCGGGCAATATTTCATCGTCACTTTCAGACAATTCAAAAATATTTTCTGCTTCACAATTTTTAGCCATATTTATAAAAAACTAACAATTACTCAAATCAACAAGTTATTACTAATATGTAAAATACTGAAATGCAGACTAAAATGAAATTAAGTTGTGCAAATTAGGAGTGTTATCACAATTTATTAGCGGACAAGTGTTTCCATTGATCGATTTTTCTTGAACAACGGTCAAGTGACAGATTGCAAAAAAATGTAAGAAAAATTTCGTCATGCCCATTGAAATAGTCTTCCCAGCATGACGAAAAATTTCGTCATACCCAATGAAATAGTCTTCCCAGAGCATGACGAAAAATTTCGTCATACCCATTGAAATAGTCTTCCCAGCATGACGTCATACCCAGTTAACAGATTAATAATGGCTACTAAGTAAACCTTCATTTACACACTAGTAAAGTAATGCTCATTTCCCCTTTCTTTCCAAATCGTACAGAAACTTCAAATTAATCTTACCACATTCAGCCATTTTTACTCTCTAAACCACAAAACAAGCAACATACTTCCTAACCAACGCACACACAAGCCCTTACGAATTTACTGCAATCATGCAGCTGATTATGTCATAATAGGGTTTCCATAACATTCAACTACTCAGGCTACCTTAAATGAAACAACAACTTGGCAATAAATGAAATACAACAATTTGGTGATAAATGAAACATCAACTTCGAGATAATACAAAAGGTAACCTTCTCAGTACTCTGACCCTTGGCACTCGTACGTTATTGTTTTTTCTTGCATAGGGGTCTGTTTTCACTTAAAAAGGTGTCAGAGAATCACATAAGTTTGACATTCACATATTGTTATTTTCCCATATACACAGTAATCTGTTTTTACTTAACATCGGAGATTTGCATAAACAGTGGTATTGGTGCATAAATTTGATTGTTTACAACTTTATAGAATGCGAATTTATGTACTGTTTCTGAAGAAATGCAATGCCTTCCCCCCTCCCAAATTCCACAGTCCCATTATGATTTCTGCAGGCTCCACGCATACCTGGGATGTCGCATAAATATATTTAGATTATGTCATGGATTGCCTGTTTTGGCAACATAATGCATTTCCTCATAAATACTTTTTTGGGGGGGGGAGAGATGCAAATAATCAGGAAGTAACAAAAATTTGATCAAGTTTTTCTATCATCTTTCACATGTAATTTTATTTATAATTTTAATAATAATTCATTTAGCTCCATCTTCTTTATATATGAATAACAAGCATAATATGATGTTGTAAACTATTACATGAAGCAAACAAAAGTCCATTAAATCCATGTCATAAACACTGTTCAAACGATTAATGCTTAATTAACTGTGTGATTACTCATACACTGGTTATTTTAGATTTTGTGAATTTTTATTATTTAAAAAAATTATTTCTCAACTTCGTTTTAAAAATCAGCTATTTATGAAATTATATTTTTGTGTAAGCAAAAGAAATGTCAAGTCTTTAAAATGTATTAAAAAATTAATGATAATTTTTACCTTATTAAAATTTAATTTTTAGGTTTTGAAAAGATAAAAATGTTTGAGCACAAGCAAGATACATGGATGCTATATCACTCTTTATTGTCTGCTGCTAATAAAACAAACACTGATCAGGTTTGTGTTTTGTTTCTTTTCTTTTTCCTTAGCTTTACTTATGTGAAATGAATATAAGTGAAATTCCTTTTTTACCTAACTAGTAAATTTTATTAATATATTTCCATAGAAATTTATTACAAGTCGATACAAGGTTGAGTTAATTATTAGATCTACTAACTATTTCTGTTATCACATACATGTACTAGCAAGGACATGATTTATACAAGTTAGAAAACAGCAGTTTTATTGGCTGTTTAGTGCATAGTGCCAGTATTTCTGTGGCTGCATGATTTTTTTAAATGTTCTCATACGTATGTAATGAAAATGTATATCATGAATAACCAGTGGCATAGTTTTTATGAACTGAAGATCAAGTCCTGGTATGAAATAAATCATTCACGGTGAAGGCTCGTCGCTCCTCCAAAGATTAATTAGGGCCACTGCTGCATAGTTGTGAATTACCATGCAGATAAACCAGAGAGTTTCCAAAAGTGTATCCAGAGCAATATTTCAGTTTGCACTATAGTGTGGGAACTGCACCAGCAAGGAATGGCAAAAGTTTGCTTTGGCAGATTAATCCCAGTTTGTGCTCCTGTGAATAAATGCCATGTGCAGCATGATATGTCACAGCAACACCATTCAAAAATATAAATTTTAGTGGAAGATAAAATAATGGTGCCAACATCCAAGTCTGGAAGATTTCTTCCTTGCATATATGATGAGTACCTTAATGCCTGTAGCTAGTATTCTGAGCTGATTTAGAAAGCTGTACATAGCCTTGACATCATGTATCCCTACATGTTGACTGCTTTCTCTGATGGCAAGAGAACCATCAAACATGATAGCACATCTTCCTATAATGTTTCAATTACAAAAGCCTTGTTGAAGGAATATGAGTAAGATTTTTAACATATTTTCTTGTCCTCCAAGCTTCCCAGATGGAAAAATTCTTCGGAATCTTCTCAATAAACATGTTTGATGTGTGGAACGTCAGCTTCACATTCTCCCCCTGCTAGTGTATTTTCTTCATGGTACCTGCATGCTTATTAATTTTTTGCTCAGATACCCTAAACAACATTCTGGGACTTCAGTGTATTGCATTTAGTGTGCGATAGCTGTCTGTGTTGCTAAGGGAGGTTATTAAATGGGACAACACGACTAATGACTCAATCTATTGATTAATTAAATTTTATTTCATGACAGAAATAGAGTTTTTCAGTTTTTTATTATTATTCATAAAATATTGCCAAATGGAGTTCTATTTAAATTATGCATTTGCTATACAGTCGAAAGTCGTTAATCTGGACTCGTTGGGACTTTTCTGGATTATCGATTTTTCCGGATTATAAGATCATCAGTTTAAATCTGATAAGATGACATGCAGAAATTATAAAATTAAAAATATGAAACCGTAATTTATGAAATAAAGAACAATTATGATCTAAAGGGTATCAAATTTACAAAAAAAAAAAAAAAAAAAAAAAAAAAGCTTAATATTTATTTGTTTACTTTATTAAACATTTCTTTCAATGTAAGTTGTTTAAGTTGCTTCGTTTTATGTGATAATACTTTCTCTTTAATTCTATAAACAGACATAATATCTTGTTCAGTTACAAAGTTCCGCTGTACAAGTCCTATAATTGCTGTGTCGAGAATACCAACTAATTTGTCAATCGAAATTTTTTTCGTTTTCAAATAACCTCTAAGTCACTTTCTTCAATATCGGAAGCAAATTATAATGATGAGGAATTTGATTTAAATCATATCAAAGACCGAATACATCGAAATGAAATACTACATTTAGTAAGGAATTATAAGCCAAATAAAATGAAAACATCTGCCCTGAAGATAAGGATAGTGCTGACAGATCAACTTCCAATTCATTGCGCGTCGCGGCGTCCCCCCCTGCCTCACCGCAGAGTAGCGTGAAATTGATAAACAGATTTCGGATTTCGAAACATACTTTCGCTTTGTAGATCCTTTACATATTAGTAAATATATATCGGAAATTCTATTTGACATAATCGAAAGTTCAAGCTTACTTTTATAAAATTGCTCTAACAGTCTGCAAAAAATAATAAGCCGGATCCAATTCGAAGATTAAGGAACAATGCAATCTGCAACATTAACTGAATTAGATAATTTTAGCTTATAGCTTATACCATCCGTTATGCATTAAACGCGCATGCGTAAACGTATTTTGCACATGCACCCAGCCGTAAAGATCTTACACGCATGCCCAGAAAGTTTGTAGCTTTGAGGTCCGGATTATAGATCATTCCGGATTATGGGTGTCCGAATTAACAACTTTTGACTGTATAAGGTATTTCTCCCACCTTCGTAGTGTAGTGGTCTGCATGCTGGGTGCATATTGCAGAGGTCTATAGTTCAATTCCTGATGAAGGCATTGCTAATTTTTCATGACTCCTGCTTCCAAAAAGTACCTAATGTCTCTACAATGGTGCCCGACTTGAAAGGGTGGTGGATGATGATTCTCCCTACCCGGGATTTGGCGATTGGGTCCCCGAAAACCTCAGTCGCCCTTTAAAAGGGAGAGTATATGAGGTATTTCTCTTGCCTTCATAGTGTATTGGTCTGCACACTGGGCATGTATTTTAGAGGTCCGTGGTTTGACTTCCATTGAAAGCGTTGCTTATTTTTCATGACTCCTACTTCCAAAAAATATCTATTGTCTCTACAACTCTTTAACCAAAAATTAAAATCCCAGTATTAAATTCTTAAATATATTATATTAAATAAGTTTAATAGTATGTACTCAAAGCAGGGCAGTTTTTGCATAAACTGGGATAGTTTTGAGAAAATACTACAGAAATAAAACCTACTAAGATAAGTGCCTGAGATTGAAAATGTTAAATAAAGAAGTTTTTAACAAAAACCAAGTTGAAAGAAATCTCAACTGAACATACCATATTAAGAATTTGTTAGTATTTATCATTAGCATTAACTTTTGTTAAAAATTCAGTACTTTTCCATTTTGGCAACACAAATCTCGCCAAGCAGACTTTATTGGCGACAACATACAGTATACACATAATAAAATGTTATCAAATGTTAGTTCTAGGAATTTTTTATTTTGAAAGCATAAACATTTTAATATCTTTTAAAATTTTGCAAAAAGCCAATAAATAAAGACAATAAATTTGTAAAAAGACATTAATTTAAGAATTTATTATGCTTTCATGGTTCAACATCTTGATTCACTGGTTCATATCACGTGACCCCAGTGATCTCATCTCACGTAAACTAAGCTGCAAAAATCAAATTCTCTCAGTAATTATCTACATTAATTTCAAGTTAAATCTTGGAATACAAGTTTAAATACAAGAATTATTTCAATTCATACTAATAGCTTATTCAGAAATTATGTAAAACCACAGCGCTTTATTTCGCTAGTGCATTCTCATTAGAATTGATGAATTTAAGCTTTGCCTTTTCTATATTTTGCCCTTGTGTAAGCGGTGTGATTGCATCCTTATATGTCTTAATGACCGCAAATGGCCGTAAGACATAAAATTGAACTATCTGGTAAAAATTCTATGTAATTGTGTGCCAGTATTGAAAAAAAAAATTAATCTGATAAGAAATGGCTGCGACTTGTTTTGAAAATGAGGTGTAACAGATTTCAGCAAGGATATTCCATTTGGCATTGGTTGTACCATTATTGGTGACTTTATTTCCTGTGCCAGCAAAACAGAAAAGTACCAAAAATTCTTTATTTTTAATGACATCTAAAGATTCCCTGCAATTTAGTTCATTGTTAATTTTGCAGCTTAGTCTTTTTGGTTGATTTAGCCATTCTACCTCTTTCTCCAGACCATATGAGCCCACCAGCAGCCAAGTGGTAAAGTCGCTGAACACCAGTAGTTCAATTCCAGACGAACAGGCTGGCTGCATGGGTGTTTTCATGGTTTCCCCATGTTTTAATATAGATATAAGCAAGTTTGCCTTAGAAATTCCTCCATGTAGGCATCCCTTCCTTAGGCAGAAAGACCTCGAGTGCTTTGCCGTAATCAAGTATACCAACTCCAGATCATATAATATTCATTATTGGGAATATTCTTTTGACTGGTGCTGATGTGCCTGACATGCTGTTGTTTGAACAAGATTGGGCAATGAAATGTTTTTTTTCAGTTCACTTGGCTGACTTAAAGCTAAGATTGTGAATAGCAATATGAAATGTAAAAGTTGCTTCTTTAGCTGCTATTTAAAATTCTTTGTCACTTAAATTGGTATCTTTAAAAGTATAATATATTTGAGGAAGTTCTAGCTGCTGCTAATAGGTTTGCCTTATGTTTTGTACATTTCAAGTGATTTGCAATGTCTGGACACAAAATAAACTACTGAAAATTCTGAAATGCACAGTTTACGTTTCGATTTGTCTGTACCATCATAATTTTTTTTTAAAGTAAATAATTCATGAAACAAATAATTCATTGATAAACAGTTTTTTTGTGTGTTTTGTTGGAGATTAAATTAATTTAATATGCATTTCAAAATAATTGTTGCAAATGCTGACTCGCAATTTGAGTGCTACTAAGATAAAGCATACACACAAAAGACGTGGCCAGTGTCAGTTCCAATGTTTCCAGCTCTGATGGAAACAAAATATCGTATAGGCTGCCTACTATTATAAATTTTGTAAAAAATAAAATACGTAAGGTAAATATCTAAACAACTTTAAAAACACTTAGATTCAAAATATTAAGATTGGTAACAGTGAGTGTAGCAGAGCAGAAATGTTTTCATTTTATCCAAGGCTGCAGTATATTTACTTTTTATATGCTTTACACTTTTAAAATTTTACCAAATAACCGTGACAAACTGACCAAGGCACAAGGATCACCTCGTTAAACTGGAACTGTCTCTGTCAGAGCAAGATGTCTGGTAACTCCAGTATTAAAGAAATAATAGTACAGTACAAAGTCCATAATCCGGACTCGTCGGGACTTCGGTGATTCCGGATTAAGGGTTTTCCCGGATTATAGATCATCATTTTAAATCTGGTAAGATGGCATGCAGAAATTATGCAATTAAGAATATGAAACCGTAATTTATGAAATAAAGAGCAATTATGATCTGAAGGGTATCAAAATTTACAACAACAACAACAACAAAAAAAGCTTAATATTTATTTGTTTACTTTATTAAACATTTATTTCAATGTAAGTTGTTTAAGATGCTTCGTTTTTTTGTGCTAAACGCACACGCGTAAACATTAAACGCGCATGCGTAAAGCATAAAAAAAAAAGTTTGTGGCTTTAATTCTGGATTATATAGATCATTCCGAATAATGGACGTCTGGATTACAGACTTTGTACTGTAATAAAATCCAGTTATAAGGTCTCTCACCACTCACAAAAATGTAAAAATGATAAAAATATATATTATGAAAAGATTGAAAATTGCATGCACATCTGCAAGCTTTCTAAAATTTGAAAGCTTGCAAAATACAGTATCTGTTACCTTAGTTATTAAGTTTTGCTGTCAAGGAACACTTTTCTCTCTTTAAAGCATCATTTTTGTTAAGCAGCATAAGTTTTTGTATGTATATGCATGTGTAATCATATATAGACATCAGACTAAAATAACAAAATTGCTTTTATTTAGTACATAATAAATAAAGGAAAGTGAAATTTAATGAAAAATATAATTGTTTCTCCATAGAGCAAATCTGTATTATTTGCTAAAGTAAACTTGTGCTGTTTTAAATATTTTATAGTATTATTTTATAAACCTATCTTAAAATTCATTTGCTATTACTATGTAATTTGAAATGTATATGGTTATTTTTCCTCCCTCAGGAAGTAAACAATGAGTGTTATCTTGATAACTCAAAAGATACAGTTGAAATAATTGCTGGGACTGTTAAAACAATTCTCACCTACAATTTACAAAATGTGAAAAATGAATTGGAGATCTTGGAAATACAAGTACACATTAATAGAAGAACCCATGCTGCTTTATTTTTGACGTTGTTGAGGTAATTTGTTTATGTTTCAAATATGTAACATTAAAAAACTGATTTTTTTGTGTTGCCATGTAGAAAATTTTGTACAGTAAAACCTCGTTAACACGAATCCCAAGAGACCAAAAGCTCAAGAGTTTGTCTTAATGGGATTTAAATTTTATTTTTGAAAAATAGTTTTTTTCTACATATTAGCCATTTAAAATATATATGTACATACATAATACGGTATATTATGTGTGTCGTTACAGGAGAACACTACAATATTACATTAATTATTGTACTGTAACTTGAGAAAATATTGCAGATCTTTTTCTGCAGAAAAATTTCTGTATATTGCGCTAATACAGATGGTAATGTAAATGGCTGGTAATTTCACAGTCAACTGTATTCATGGCATCTGTAAAACTAGCGGTCAATTCAGATGTTACAGCAAAATGTTCTAAAGTTTCCAAGGGCATGAAACACTACCTGATGGGTGGATGGAATGCTGTTGTCTTCCTCGCTTTCCTTTGATGCCATTTCAGGCACCTCAGACAGAACTGCTTGTACATCGCATTCCACGGGAACCCACACAGCAACATTGTTATCTTCATTAACTAACTGCTCAAAACTAATACCAGGGTTCGTTCTTGTAGAATATTCCATTCATCAGGTGAAGTGGTATCATTGTCACCATCTAATTTGTCAACAGGATTATTATCTGTGTGTCTGCAGGTTCTGCTAAAACAGTTCTGTATATGTTGTGATGACACAAATTTCCAGGATGCAGTGGCGGTGGTGTTTATTGCATCAAGCACACTCCAAGTTGACACTTCCATCTCCTTTTTAGAAGTGTGAATGGCAGCTCTCATAAGTCACTTGTGATAAGACCTGTTCATAAGAGAAATAATGCCTTTATCCAAGAGCTGAAAATGTCTTGTTGAATTGGGGAGGGGAACCTTTACATTGGTTAAATTCAGATCATGTATGTTATGGCTGCACACCTGTTCAATGACATAAGAACATGCCCCTTTTATGAGCCACCATTTAACCATTAAAATGAAGAAGCTAGTTATGATGAGAATAGATGCAAGGTAAAGTACTATTTATGCTCTTAAAATAATAGGGTTTCTGGGACTTTCAGATGACCCAAAGATGATGTTTATCACTGCCGTCTGCATTAAATGCAAGGACTACAGTTAAGCCTTGCTTACTGTGTTCTCTATGATGGCTTTGGCCACCTCTTATTTCAATGGTAGGATTTGGGAGGTCGATTCATGCAACCATTTGGCTTCTTCTTCATCAACTACCTTTGCTTCATCACAAATCACTAATGATAAAATTGAATGTCTCTTTTGGAACCAGTACAGCCAACCAGCAGAACAACTGAAATCTTGAATGTTTAAAAGCACATTATGAATGAACACTCACTCATGTGATTGAACAGTCTAGAAGTGAAATTTCAACAACCATGTACTTAGCACCAAAAAGTCACTTATTGTTCCTGGAACTTGATATAGAAGTATTAAGAATTTTCCAGTGTTGTGGATGAGGCAGATTTGATAATCAAATTCTTTTTGGCAATTATATTTTTCTTTTTTACACCACAGTCTATTTCGTATAGGATTTTTAGTTTTATTTGCAGATATATCTCTGTCTGCTTCCTCTTGGCCACGACTCACTCTCTTACTACTTGTAACTTAATTTAGTTGTTGCATCTTTAAAATAACCAGGGTGCCATTTAACAGTGCCGCTAGAACTTTCAGAGAATAAAGATATTTTGGACCGTGCTGAAAATACATGTAAATATTTTATTATAAATAATAACACATAATAAGTTAATTTTAACAAAGAGGAGAAAAACAACAGAAAGTGAAAAAAAAAAAAAAAAAAAAACTGAAAGTTCATGGTAAATTGAAAAAGTCTAATAACACAACAGACTGAAAAACAGTTCATAATTCTTGCTAACCAAAATTCATGTTAACTGGTAAAACTTTCTGTAAGATCATATGCATCACTTCTGGAACTGAAATTTTGTTCATGTTAGCCAACTGTTCGCTTTTAGCAAGCTTGTGTTAAAGGGGGTAATTGTATGTTTAAAGTAAGTAAAAGTACTTATGTATTAGTATGACCACATTAGTAGAAGTCACCAGATTTTTAAAACCATGGTTTTAGAAATCTATTGATGAATAACGAACTATTTTTCAATCCATTACGTTATTAGATTTTTTTTTTCATTTAACATGATTTTTCAAAGTTTACTAAATTAAAATACGTCAAACTATGGCAACTATGTGCATAACAATTTTTCAGTTTTAACTATTCACAATTTCCAAATGTGTTCTTTTTGTTGAATTTTAAGTTCTAATCATTTTTCCAATTGTAAATAGATTTTATGAATTTTTTTGGAATGAAAAACTAATTAAATCTGTGACATACAGTGATATCTGAGATACACCATTAATGTCAAAATTGCAATCCCTTCAAAATGATTGACTATAAAGTGCGGGTTTATAGAATGCAATCATTTTTTTCATGCAGATATTGGAAATAATGCAGAATTCTCCCTTTCCAAGGGAGAACTTCATAATTTCAAGAGGTAATGCATCCAGCCTTTTATTTGCTTATTAAATATTTAGTTTTATTTATGAATGTAGAAAACTGCCTCTATTCTAATTTTGATATTTATTAACATTTTTCTATATTTCCTCATGTTTCATTTATAAAACACATTAAAAATAATCTAAATTTATAGAATTGCATGTGTATTCTTTGATTGGGATTTGGGAATGGGAAGATGATTGTTTAGCAATGGTAAAAGTTGTGCATGGGGTAAAAAAGGTTGAAGAACAATTGCTATATTTTCTGCTATGAAGTGTACTATGTACAGAGATACTCACATTTGATTTGATTCATAGAATGTAGTTATGCATGAATCGTAATGTTTTACAGCAAGTATTGTAAGTATCCACCACTTTCTTAAAGACAGGTCTGAACCTTTTATACCATACTTTTGACACCCTTCATAGGACATCAGAGTTAATGGAATTTATCTCTGCAGTATAATTCACTCCAGGACACCTATTATATGATCACTGGATCCGTCTACAACTTGAGCGAACAATATTAACTCAAAAAGACTGGTAGGGACAACCATCACAACTTATCATAGAAAGCCATTCTTGGTTCTCAGTTGGTGGGCGAGTGGATCTATTTGACTTTATTGAATGGGGACAAGGCTTCAAGGAGCTTTAGACCAATCGCAGTACAAATGAGTGACGAAATTTATAGCGCGTGCTGGCTGAAGTTCTAGGAATATTTTCCCATTATTTCACTAACTCACATGCTGCATTTGTAGTACAAAAAAAAAAAAAAAAAGAAAAAAAAAAATGCCACAAAACAGTATTATGACTAACACGCAGCAGAATATGCTGTGAGGTGAAGGAAAATCCCGTTTTTAAAAGGGGAAGTTAATGCAGGTATTTAGGGCTAAGAAAATAAAAGAGATGTGGTATACCATGAAAGCAACGGTAAATAGATAAGAGTAAATGAATTAAGCTTACTTCAAATCTTTTTAGAAATAAACAATTTTAATCATTAAAATTTATAATATGATTAATTTGCATTACAATCTAATAGCAAACTAAGTTTTATTTATATATTTATTTATTTTCATGCTTACATTAAAAATGTGTTTTCACGCAATTTATTTTACAGTTAAAATGAAAAAATATTTCTTTAAGAAATTAGAAAGAAAATATTTCTTTCTTAATGTTTCTTCCTTTTTACTTCCTTGTACGAAGTAAAAAGGAAGTATTATAATTGCGAAAAGTTTCAGGCAGCATATTTAAACGAAAATATCCATTTTGACCGCTATCGAATGCAATTTAAGAATGTTTTTGCGTGATATTTGTATGTAAGGACAGAATGAAAGACTTTTTTCCTCCAAAAAAATTATAAAACTGCTTTAAAATAATTTCTGAAGAGAATTTTTCGTGGCGTCTGTACGAACATATGTACGTACGTATCTCGCATAACTCAAAAACGAGTAGCCTCAGAACGTTGAAATTTTGTATATAGGACTGCTATAACATGTAGATGTGCACCTCGTATTTTATTTGCAATCGGCTGCACCAAACATATATAAATATGTTTATATATATATTTATCTATATCCAGTCTGTTACCCGGCTCAGTGATCTCAGTTTCTTTACTCTTATATGTTTGGAAATTTTACATTTTTTGCTTTAAAAATGATTGAATTATGTTTTTTTTTATCTTCCAGTTAAGGTTTCTATGCCTTTAGTAAATCTGTATGCAATATTTTTAGAATTATCGACAATTTTAAAGCTGTTTAAGTGCCGCTAAGCCTAATAATTCTTTTAATGGCGGCCATTGCTTGTTTACATTTGAAACAACAGACTAGTGGATTAGTTGCCAATCTAGAGAAACGTAGCTTTACAACAACAACGATAACGCCTTCATTTATTATTTCGAATTAAATCATGCTTAATCCTTTCTGGAATTTTTTCGAGGAAATAAGTGTTTAAGATTTACTTCGTAATTTTAATTACATATATTTTGAGTTTTTATGTATTTTGGTTTTGTCGCTAAGTGAGAACTGAATTAATTGAATGAGAAATACTCAATCCTCTGTGAGAAGCTGTTTCTTTTTTGTTTTGTTTGCTTAATTTCTTTTATATATTGTTCTAGCTTTATTATAGTATTTGAATAGAACATGTGGCAACAATTAGATATTCTTTAAATGATATAAATTTTGTGCATTCTGAATTATAATATGAACGAAATATAATACTGTTAAGTAAACCTAGCGCCAGAGTGTCGCTATGGTAAACAAAGTGAATTTTAAAGAATGCATTTATTCTATTGTGGTTTATGCGCTGTCGATGAAGTAGATTTAATTCAATTCAATAAGTGTAAATGAAATGAAAAAAAAAAAAAAAGAGTATAATTTAATATTCCGTACAAGGAAGTCATGTGGTGTACACATCAGATTTTTTTTATTTTCTGTT